AAACAGGGGGATTGAACCGACGGCTCTTATGGAACCATCATATAACGAAGATATTTAAATCATTAATGATACTGTTTAAACACAGAAGGTTGATCGGTAGATCCTTTATACAGATAAGAAATTACAAACTTCTACTGCAAAGATTCGACGTGACGTCACAGCAAGCCATCACACCACCAGCTGCGTTTTTGCCTGGCAAATAAAACTGTATATTTGTTAAATAGAACACCCTGCATTTTATTTCAGTTTTAGAATGGTTTGGTAATAGTGTATTCAACCCTAGAACGTTTTTAAAAAATATTACAGGGTTACCAAGCAATTAATTTTTTTATGAAATTACATAATGATGCATACCCCAACTTAAATTATCATAACAAGTTTTTAATTATTTCAAGACTTGTTTAAAATACAGATTTATAAGATACTAAGCTAAAGAATAGTGGTGATAAAACTGGTTTATTTTATACAGAGTGTTTTGAAACATGCCTAAAATATGGCTAATTTTAGATTCAATTTACTCAATTTTTTCAAATGCAACACCCTGTATATTATTTTAACATAACTTCTTATAAATTTACGTATCCAACGATATCAACAGGTTAGCCAACAACATATACAGGGTGTCCTATCTGTGCGTAATTGATCGATGTTTTATTGTTGTATGATCATATTTAAGAATTATTCTTAAATATACAGGGTAGTCCATGAACGAGGAGCTGACAAAACCTATATTTTTTTAAAGTAGAACACACTGCAGATACATATTTGTTTTCACATCTTCAATCAATTTTAACAGACTTCATTCATTTGCTATGTTGTATATAGGGTGTGTCAAAACGTGACGTTACAATTTTCTCATTTTTTTTTTTTTCAATGGAATACCCCGTTTAACTAATTATTTGGTGGTATAACATACACGGTATTTCATTTAAAAAATTGAGAAAATCGTTAACTCTCACTTTGCCACACCCTATAGGTATACAACATGACAAATATGTATAAGAACTGTAGGGTATTTTGCTATAAAGCTCATTTATGCACCACCCCGTATATTTAATATTAATTATTATATAGGGTCATACAATTTTTATATTAATTTTTTAATACATCCAATAATAAAACAGCTATCGATCAATTACGCACTGTTGGGACACCCTGTATATGTGCTATTAGCAAACACGTTGGTTTCGTTGGCTTGGTAAATTTATAAGGAATTGTATGCTAAAATAATATACAGGGTGTTGCGTTTGTAAAAATTGAGTAAATTGAATTTAAAATTGGCCATTTTTGAGACATGTTTCACAACACTCTGTATAATTCGAATACCATTATTCGTTAGCTTAATATTTTGTAAGTCTATATTTTAAACAATTTTAAAATAATTTTAAAGGTATCTAAATTATGATAATTTCATTTGGGGCCCACATCATTATCCAATTTCATAAAAAATTACTTGGCAATCCTCTAATATTTAAAAAAAATATATAGTACACAGTATTTCCAAACCATTCTAAAACTGAAATAAAATACAGAGTGTTCTATTCAATAAATATATATTTTTATTTGCTACGCAAAGACGCAACACCCTGTATGTATAAAAATATTTATAAATTATGATTTTTTTAAATCAAAATAACTTTTATTTGAAACTTAAGTGGGGGTGGTGTTTGCAAGCAAACGTTTTATGAGTAACCCAGCACATGCTTTACCCTGTTGTCAAACTGCAAAATAAATGGCTTACTTTCCTGGAAATCACCTTCAAGTGCAACAGTTGCATTAATAAATTCCTTAAAAAACAGATTATGTTGTTTGGTTATTAGAGTACGCATTCATAATCATTAGCTAAAATAAATAAAATATGTCTCTCGGTATTTTTCTTCCCAAAATATCAACATTTTGTTCTGTTTACATTCAACACGAAGATCAACAATAAAAGAATTATTTTTTGAAGAAATTTATATTTTATACAATATAGAATTTATCGGAAATCTATTATAAATAAAATTACATACAAATGAGTATTATTCATAAATCATTACATCAAATTTCACTGCATAATACACTAACAAAAATAATTTCATTAATAAAATTCATCTATATAGAATCTATTAGATTAATTTTTGTATTTTTTATCTGAAAAAATTCAGTTTTTTTCATTTTGTTAAAAAATATAAAAGAAGATGCTCTTTATTTAGATTCTCTTCTATACATAACAAAAATAAATATAAATACCCTGTATTAGAGTTACAGGCACCTACATTAAAAAAATATTTTTATTAATGTAAATCCAGCTGAAATTTGAAAAATATTACACGTTTTTTTACTACACTTCGTGTATAATAATACTAAAAAACTAGTGACGTAGATAAAAATTTGTCAAAGTATAAATATACACAATAAGATAATTTACTATCATACAGTGTGAGTCCTAAGTTGATTCTTTGTTTAACTTTTTTAAAAACTCAAAAATTTAAATCCATGCCTGGACTTGAGTACGAAAAGTTAAACGAATTAATAATTCTATTTATGTTTTTATCTGTTTTTTAGATTTTTCTTATTAATATGAATCACCACTCACGTATACCAGTATTTGTAATTCAGTCGACTGCTTTCAGTAAGTCAGTATCATAAATTGATAATAAAGTGCGTTTATAAGAACACATTTTAAATAATGTGGGATTAATCTAAGAAAAGTGTAGACAACTGCAGGAAAATGAATTATATCCCTTTCGCGATCAGCTTGAACATTTTCACCGCATTACATGAAAGTTATACAGTTGTACAGAACCGTATTGAATAAATTTTGAAATAAATAAATCCAAGTTATTTTTAAATTTTTTTGAAAAGTTTTTAAAAAAGTAACAACTTAGGACTCGCCCATTTCATGCACTTATATTTTAAAATTGGTTCTTTCAAAAAGAACAGCAAATACAATTATATATACTTTTTTAAACAGACTTCTACTCTCTATAAGACTCCATATTATGTTTAAAATTATTACCATGCGCGTGGTGTTTTAAAATCGAGACGAAATTTGAGTCGTCTAAACATATAAATAGTAATCCACAAAAAATGTTTCTAAGTAGACCATGACAAACAAGGACAGATACAAGTCATGTCTGTGATAACTACATATGGCTCTAAATTAAATCAAAATCGTCACTTAAAAAGAAGAAGAAGAAGAAGAAGAAGAAGAAGAAGAAGAATTATTTGCTGCGACAAGCTTGAGGATCTACTTTAGAAACATTTTTTTGTCAGCCATTATTTTAACATTGTTCGAAGGTTGTTTTTATTGAAGCTTGCATTTTACCTAAGCGAACTCCTAAGATAGCTTGGAATTGTCTGGAGAAGAGAAAGTATTGGTAATGCTAATTTATAATACTAAAATGATTTAAAAACGACCTTATTCTCCCAATAAAGTTCCTTTTCATCTTTTTCTTCAAAAGAGATTTACACTTGTATTTATCTAATGAAAACTTCAATTTATCTCTGTTCAGAATATATACAGGGTGGACTTTTGAAAACTTACAATGGTTATATTTTTTTATTAAATAGAGATATCAAAAAATTAAAAAAATATCGTTTCTTTTTTTCCAAAATGTTAGACAAGAATTTGAAAATCATCTTTACTTCTGTCTCGAACAAAATGGCCGTCATTTTGAATATTTATTGTAATTTTTTTCTATTATTAATTTGTTTATGTTCAAATAAAAGTTTTCTTTTAATTTGAGGTTAGTTTTTGGGTTCACCCTACTTTTCAACTTTTCAACGAGATATCATAAGTGGGGTATTGCAATTTAAGATTTTTTCGTCAGTATGAGTTGGGCTTAAGGGGGTGGTGCGAATTGGATTCCCCCTCGTTTTTAAAGTAACCGTATTGTTTATTTTATGATATCTTTCTTTAATAAATAAATATAGCCATTGTAAATTTTCGAATGTCCTGTATATGACGTTTATCAAAATAATGCCAAATATATACAGTGTGCTTATTTAAGTTGGCAGAGCCTAACATACACGTTGATTAAAAATTAAAATAGATCATGGCGATTGCAAAATAAATGTCCTACGACCACTTAAGAAAGTGACATATTTGCTCTTGTGAAAAGCACCCTATATCACACGCGTGTGGATAAGAATTTACTTACAAATAAGTCAGATGCATAATTTAGTCTCTAAATTATCCAGTTGTGTTAGCAAACTTTCAGAAAATTTTAAGTTATAATATTTTTTGGATCAGACCCATTATTGGCGTGCAATCAAACAGTTTTAATTTTTTATCTACATAAAAACACGAAAAATAGAAAAAGTTTAAGAGACAAAAAAGATGTGTTTTTGATTGGTGAATTTGAAAAAGAAAAGAAAAAATATGAAAAAGTCAGTGACGTATTTTTTTTACAAAAATGTCAATTAAGTTGCCTTTGGGGACTCCACTGGAATTAATAATTCACATATAACTAGGTCAAAATTAGTTTCTTACTACAACAAACGAATCTTCCAAGTTTTATTAAAATCGGTCAAAGAGTGTTTATGATATGAATGAAAAATTGATTATTTTTAAAAATTTGTACACCCTGTATCTTTGAAACAAAGCAATTTATGACACATGTATATAAAAACTTTTAGTCATAAATTGTGCCAAGGAATTACCTCCTTCAATTATGACAAGATTTTTAGGAACACCCTATATAAAAAAAATAAAATTGGAACAGGGTAACTTGAACTTTTTTACATGAAAAAGTTCTCAATGTATTGCAAACTTAAATAGACACACCATACACATGAATTTTAATACTTTAAAAATAATGTACTATATAGAAAAAATGTCTAAAACCAATCGAATTATATCAAATCTTCTAAGTCTTCCAGATCATCTTACTCATGGCACTATTTTCTCAGGTTTAAGTTAATTTTAATCAATTCTATGAATGTTCTTCAGATGAGATTGTAGTACGTCATTTCTCTTGCATTTTCTAGGACACAGAGGGCACTGAAAAACTGACTGTTTTCCGCATTCGTACAAGATGTGACTCAAAACGAGGGGTTTGGTAATGAATACTTTTCCGCATCGTCTGCAGATGAATTTGTTTTCGTCTATCGTGATCACTAAAAAAAAAATAATGTTATTATAAATAGAAATAAGAAAGGTCATAACAACTGTGACCAGTATTATAAATTAAAAAGTTTTTTTTTAATATCAAAAATAAAAAAAGGTTTAACTATGAAGGACCCAGGGGAATAACGATGATGGTCACAAAATCTTGGAAAGAAGATATTCACAAATTTAACTTTTAAACGTTTTTATTTGAACACAGATAATGTAATCATTACAAACTTTTGGTAAGAAATGTCTCGTGGTTATGTAAGATAATAGTAAGCATAAAAGAACAGTTTTCATAATGTATGTTGTAGAAAAAAAATTAAAACTTGTAAATAAAAAATGACAAAACCGAATAAAGTATGTTTCAAATAAAGTAATTTGCAATTTTCCTACTTAACATAAATAAGAAAATTAGAAAAATTACTGAAATAATACAAAACATAATGTTTAAAACTCAATAATAATAATAATAATAGTTTCTACGAAGAATACAGAAGACTTCTAGTGTATTCACACTAGAAGTCCTAGAAGCTATTCAGCTTTGTGCTACGAGATGGCGGTTAACTCATCTTTGACGATTTTGGGACCTTCATCGTTTTTTCCCTGGACTATTTATATTTAAAATATTAGGAAAGGATTTGCAAATATTTTCAATTTAAACTAGTATTAGGTATTTTAAAAAATACTTGCATTTTCCTTTAAAAAAGTTACATCTACTTACTGTGTAAATTACTATATACTGTTTTTTTTAATATTTATAGTAAAAATTATATACTCTGTGCCGATATGTAATACTATGCTATATTGAGAAGGTGAAAAAAGGGTTCCACCAAGAGGACTGTGAACTATGTGCTTCTTGAATAATCCTTGTATACATAAGTCACTTCTTCTACGACGATCTGTAGATTTGGAAAAATTTGATATTCAATAACGAGCTATACAATAATTCGAAAATTAATATTAATGTTCTCTATATCGTCGCCCATTTTACAAAAGGGCATAACTAATTTTTTGCAACTTTTCAGGAGAGCAATTTTAAGATTTTAAAAATGAGGTGGTATCAGTTAATTAATCATAGTATGGAAATGCAAATTCCGATTTACTTGATTTTTTGAACAAGTGTAGCTAAAGAATGTAAATTGTATTGCCTTATGCTATTTATAAGTTATTGTGAGCAGTTACCTAGAAAATCAGGTTTTCTTGAGATATGCCCTTTTGAGACGAGAATTTTCCAAAAAATCCTTGAGTTAGGTCCGACGACATGCAATATTAAAACACAATACAAATTTTAATGCATTTTTTGTTAACAAACATGATATTTTTGATTTTTGTTTTTTGTAACATTATTGAGGAATATAAATAGCTTTAAGAAATATTTCTTATTAAAAAAAATAATTTTTATTAAAAAATGTGAAGCTCATCAGCTATTATAAAAAAAAAACTTAAAAACAAAGATTTATTTATATTATATTGTAAGTACTTAGTCTTTGGTCCCAGGGAAAACTAATTATTCGTGGGGTAGGTGAGTGTAAAAATGCCTGTGGTCCTCCGACCTTATAATACTCTTCTCTCCTTGACATAGAGAGCACAAGTCTCTATATTTAAGGTTCAATATCTTGATTGGGTCTGTATTTAATTTAGGAACTGGATTCTTAAGAGGGTGATTAGACTCTATATTTCTCCTAAGAGAAATGCTGCTGTATGATGAGCAGCTAAGTTTAGTTTTGAACTGAATTGTATTTGGCTTTAGTTTCGTAACTAGCAGCTCAGATACCTTTGTCCAGTCAACGGTGTCACTGGAATTGTCACATTTTCGAATGGTGAGGATTCGTAATTTTTAGACAATTCCTTGAAAGCTAGAAACTTTTCAGGATTCATCTCTTCTACATTGTAAGGGTGTTTGTGTCTAGCCAGTCTTATTATACTTGTTAATTGTGAGGGTATAAACATATCTCCCGCTCCTTTAACGGCATATCCCTGTGGCACTATGTGCACTGTCCCCTTCACTTTGTCCGTGGTGGGGCTCAAAAAACGTGATACGAATCTCATCTAATGTAGTTCTGTTATTTATGCAATAAAGTATCATTGTGGGTAAAATTGTATTTTTGTTTTGGCCATCACAGCCATCGCAATATAAGTGAATAACACGTTTGTTTTGGGATTCAAATTTTTTTTATAGAAGTGTAAACGCAAGTGGCAACCTCAGATGACCCTCTTTTGCTAATTGCCTCGTGCCACAAATATCAATCACAGTTTCTAGATGCTATATCATATACAGTGAAGTTGTAAACTGACAACCTTCTTTTGTAGAATACAGCACTCTCCTTTAATATTGGAAGTGAAAAAACTTGTTAAAAGTCGAAAACAGCACAAGCATACTTTGAGTTCGGTTGCTGAGCCATTTGTTTACTTTGATCTTTAACGTTATTTTTTCTAACGATGTGTGATTCATATTCTAGTGATAACTCCTTTTTTTTTCTTCATCGCCATTATTATATGACATACAAAGGCTGCATTGATCCTTTTTGGGTCGATGAAAGGATAGGTTCATAGATTTTGCGGTGCACAGAATAAGATCCTTTCATTAGAGGTCCAGATTCATCTGCTAGATACATGGAAAACATCTTTAGTAGACTAAGATTTTCTTGTAAATATTCATCAGTTGAATTTTGACGGCAATAATGAGATTAAACTCTTCCAAATTTATTTATGAGTTCAGTAATTCCATTAATTAATTGAAGGTCTCTATCGACTTCTGACTTATACCTTCCTCCTCTCTGTTATTTTTCTATAATTCCAGTTGTAATTTTCTTCGATAATGTTGTACTTATAGTCTTTGCTGTCGTTGCCAGAGTATTAATAAAAAATGTTTTACAAACTGGTAGTTCGTCGCCGTCTAACGGAAGAAAGTAATAATTGCTTTTATTTCTTCTAGATACCTCTTTTTGTGTAGTTCTTTGTTTGATTTCTTCCATTTTGATGTACCTTGCCATGTACTCTCTTTGTAACTGCAAGGATCCCATTGAATAAAAATCTTGCATAATCCCTTGTCTTTTACGATCACTGAAGAGACTACAATTCTTATTACTTTTTGAACATGATTCCCCATTACATCGAGGTCCCAATTGTTTTGGTGGCATGAGGTTAATTGTTTTCGGTCTTACATAATACTGTCCTTTGTTCTTTAGTTCTTTGGCTAATTTATATAAATTTATTTGCCTGATTTTTTAAATAAAACTTCTCTTGGAGATCCCGCGACTGGAAACAAGCTCTCCGGATTGTAATCTTGGTGTAAGTGGCAGTTATTATCTGCTTCAAAGTATTCAAAACAGAGTAAGACTTTTAAGCAGATACAAGCTTTTCGTTGCTGTCTTCATTACCTAAGTTAGCTGCTTTATTTTCCTTCGGGCTTCTTTTATTTACCTTTCTAGACTTTTCCTCTAATTCTTTATTTGTCCAACTTTCTAGATTAAATAAGTGACGCCGACATAGATCATGATTATTACAAACAACTTCTTTGCAAAGTAATGCACTACACTTGTTAATGCCTTTGTTTGTACATTTTCTCGCGGTACATTCATAAACAACAAAATCAGGGTCTTCATCATTGCAATCTCCAAATAGTGAGTCCTCACTTTCACTATTGGATTGAGTATACTTTCGTTTTTAAGCTTCTCTTGTTATCGGCCGTCTCAAAAGTGTGTTCGGTATATCAACTTTATTCTTGTTTTTTTTTTTACAATGGGAGGAATATTATCATCAGAGCCACATTCGCTTGAAGGAGATATTGATAAGCCAACTTCCTTCTGGCTATTATCATCAGAGCTGTTGTGCTGTGCGTCACTATCATCATCATTTTCTGTAGCAACTATTATTCCATAGTAAAATTTTCGACCATAGTCCATTTTTACTTTTTTATTTTTTTCGAAACGGTTTAATCCATCAATAAGAGACAATTCTTATATTGCAACAACATTTTCTGTTCCATCTTCCCATTTAATTAAAACATCCATGGTTATTAATTAGTTATCTGAAATAAATAATAACTAGCACTTAAATCGTCAAAGAGTTACCACACAATGTGCTCACTAGAGACAATAACACACAAACTGTGAGGTTATGTTATTTTGTCGCGCAAACGAATCTCTCTTTATGAATTTGAATGTGTGGTTCCCCTATACCTACAGTATTTTTAAATTGTCCTGTGACAAATGAAACTCTGCAATGTTTTCAAAACCAACATTTTGAAGAAAAAGGTCGTAGAGGAGTTAAAACTTCATTTATTTTTTTTGTATTAAATTGAGATATGTCCTTATGTGACGCAGATATTAAATTTGGTTGATGTTTTCTCAAAAGGGCCTATCTTGAGTTGAGCCCTTTTGTAAAAATAATTCGTATCGACTGAGATGTGCCGAAACACACTTTTCCCCATAACTTCGTTGCCTTTTATCGTAGAGATATGCCGTTTTGAGAGAAGAAAATATACGCTACGGGGCACACCGTCCACTATATAACTCAAAATCGAGGTATTGTTACGTTGTAATCGTCACTCCCTTTTAATAATTACAATATTTAATTAGTTCAAATATTCCAATATATTCTAATACTTTTTGAGTGCCCCTCATATTTGGAAATATAGATATTATGTTAAAACGGGAATTTGTTTCTGTCTGAGACATTCGATGGCTCAACCAATGATGCGCTTTCTCTAAAAATCAATAATTACGGTCAGAGGTTGTGCGCACGCCTGCTTATCTCTGGATGTGGTCGTTTCATATTTCACACATGCTGTCGGTTTTTGAAATTCTTTTTCAATCTAACAGCTTTGTTTAAGTGTGTCCGAACAAACTAAGGTAATCGAATCATTTTTTTTTTATAATGAATGGTAGAAATTAATTTTATTATATGTGTATATCGGGTGAAATTATTTGTGACTTATTTCTTTAATTTATTTTCGAGATTTCCGCGTAATATGAGAACCACATGTAGTGTACAAAATGGCTGTCATTAATTTTATATTTTTTTTCTCAGTTATTTAAAAAAATCTTTCCATTCTTCATGTATTTTAATTTAAATACTATTGCAAATCTCTAGTATTGTTGTAAACTTGAAATGTTCAATTTAAATAGTAAGCTTTTATGGCTGACCACATGTTTTGTTTTTTTTTTTGAAGCAATGGAAAGATACGTTTTTTTTTGTTGTAACTGATACGTTTTTTCTTTCTTAAAATTAAGGAACTGGCTCTGTAACGACTAAGGAACTGGCTCTGTAACGACTAAGGAAGTGGCCTTTATAACTAAGAATTGCAGAATGTCTTTAAGTCATTGTGAGCTGAGTTACATCTAGAACTGCAGAATCTCTTAAGTCATTGTAAGCTGAGTTACATCTAGAACTACAGAATATTAGGAAGTCATCGTAGGCTGAGCTACCATTAAGTCAGCGACACGGACCAGTTCGACCGTTGAAATCCGGAAACACAAGATAAGTGTCGGCCAGGACCACACACACAATTTTTGAGTCATAGTCATACTAGTCAATTTTAATTTTAAACTCATCAGTCAAATAACGTAAACAGTAAAATTTGTTAAAATCAATAAATTTTATTTTCTTTTTATTGTAATATCAGTTATCAATTCAATTTGAAATTAAAGCCGATTAATTGTTTTGAAATTTAAGTTCTTTATTTTTCCTTACTTTCAACTGACAAGTTAATGACAAATTTACTTTTATTGTACATCTTAAGGTATGGCGCCCAAATTAATTTAATTGAATTCTTTTAAGTCTTTTTAATTAAAGACCTTGTCATTGACTTGAAGGTAAATTCTAAACGAATTCCACACCTATTTTGATCTGAGCTAGGCTTGAGGCTTGTAAGAATTCTTATTATAAGGATTTTTACAATGAGACCCAGGTAAGGGTTAGAAACTTAACATATCATCTGGTGCAAAATATGTTTATAAAACGTAACAGTATGCTCTTTTATAAAAACACTGACGATATTTACGAATTTATTTGGTAATTAATAAATGTCTAGTTTTATTTGTAAAACATTTTTATTGTATTGTTTGAATCGTAATTTACACAAGACTGTTTACAATCCAATATTCAATAAAAAATGAGGTTATGTGGAGATGTGGAGATGAGCGGCTACGCATGCGCTGTAGCTGGTATCAGGTGCGTCAAATTGTTGTACCGCTCATGTCATTTGTGACATTTCCTTTTAAGTTATACTGTATGTGCTTCATTTTTCGGTAATTATTGTTTCTATTATTTTTATATAGTGTTAGTTAAAATAGCTTGAGGATATATTGGTAACTTGAACTTTACGCGATTATATAAATCGTGATTAAATAAAAAAATCATTGCTGACAACGATATCATAGGTTAATATACACAATCGTATCCAGCCAGTCCATAACCAACCCATCTTTCCCAAAACTTTCGGGATATTTTAGCCCGCATGCAATGTTTTTTTAATGTAACTCTAACGTCCATGGAAACACCGAATGTCCGAAACTGCAAGAAGTTTATAGTACATCTCATTGAGGTTAGAAAGGAAAGTTCGAAAAACGTCACACTAGCATTTTTACGGCACTTTTACGGCACTATCCGTCAAAGTTATTCTGGAACGTAGTATAGATGTTACAGAGTGAGTTATTATTATCAGTTAATATAGCTGGTTGTGTAATGTAATATTGCGAGGTAGTTTAAACATCTACAATTGTGGTTATAGTACATGGTCTGATGAAGGCTGTATCTAAAAATATTTTGAAAGAAAATAATTTATTAAAAAAATATATATACAGTTCGATTTTCATTCCAAGGGGGGCATCTTTCTATTACATAGTCAACTGCCATTCCTCTCCCCCCTCCACTCTAACCAATACAATTTAAATAAGGAAAGTACCAAGTGTGACACATCATTGAAAAGGTAATTTTATTGGAAATTCAGTAATATTAATGGTCTTTGCGTTACTTTTGTTTTTAGCACCCTCTAACAGGATAAAACATTTATATATTGTAAAGTGTGACATTCCTTTGAAAGTTAATTTTTACACTAATCTAATTTGTAGCATACATTTGTTATTTTGGTAGATTGTAATTTAAGTTTGTATTTATTAACGCTAGAGTTCCTCAAACAAGGTTTCTCATTCAATTATGTTTTAATATGTTGTGCAATAAATTATAAAAATTAGCTTTCAATTGAGGTATCACACTTTACAATACATTACAGTTTTTATCCCGCTAGAGGGCACTAAAAATAGAAGTAACGTAATTATTAAGCCCATTTCTAAATTCTTTATAAAATTACCTTTTGAATAATGTTTCATCCTGGTATTTTCCCCATCTAATGTATGACAGATAAGGATATGATAGAAATTTGTTCCCCTTGGAATAAAAATCAAGCGGTTTTTAGAAACCTCAACCTCAAGGAAATATAGAAATTTCAAATCAAACACAATTTTTGGTTAATTAATTAAAATGATCATAAGATAAAAACAAATAAAAGTGTGTGAACATTCTTTACTATCTACAGTTAATTAAATCAAAAAGGAACAATTTTTAAAATAAAAAAAAAACAGTTTAAAAATTAAAAATAACCATGTTGATAACACTTCAATAAAATATGTTTAAAATAGCCCAAAACTAGACTAGATAGAGGTGATAGCGAGACATCCTTTTTCACTTTAATTTGACGTGTCCCAAACTATTTGAACTTAATGCCAAATATGAGACAAATATAAAGAAATGTGAGGCAGTATTAAAATATTAATAATAATCAAAATTAATTTTTAAATAATTGAGTAATGACAAAATTATGTCTTGAAAAATTTAGATCCAATAAAAATAGTTCATGCCACCTCTATCTATCCAGTTATGAGTATAGCAATTTACATTTGTTTTCTTTCTTCGCGAAGTTTTCTTTGTCTCGCATGTCTAAGCCACTCCCTCACATGTATTTCGAATTCCTTAAGAGAGCACTTAAATGCACGATGGACGGCACCTAAAATAAAATAATTTTGTTTTCAAATTGATATAATAACAACAATATTGATATCATGAAAATTATCTGGAAATTTCCATTATTTACTGTTATTAAATATGTACACATCATTATATTTCTGCCTCGTTTCATAAATAAGATCTTGTCGTACCCCTGTATAACTTGGATTCCATCAGATATGATTTACTTCGACGAGGCATCATGTAATTTCAGGTAAGTTCGTTTGATAAAGAGTTACTTACCAAATATAATGTTGATACAGAGCAATTGTTTAATTGGAAAATTTCCCTTTCGTCCCGTCCATGACAATAATTCTGCTAGAGAATTTGTTAACGTATGCCTAAGGATTCTTAAAATGAAATCCTTGGAGTCATTTCCTCCAATCTTTTTAATGTGTCTTTGCTGAAATAAAATATTATCTTCAAGCATACAGTAACTAAAATTAAAAATGAAAATACCGACTTCAAATGAGGAGGCTAATTTATTTGAATCTTTTAGCAGCTTTTAGATAAAATACTGTAGTTTTAAGATTATTATTTGGACATCTAATAGTAATTTAATACTCGCCGGATATACAGAGGGGAAAAGAAAACAATTTTTTCCTCTACTTTTGACACACCCTGTAGCTTAATTCTGCTAGTATATCTGCACACAATTAACTTTATCAAGAAGACTGATTTGTTTCCAATATTTTGTTTTTTATTTACCCCGATATCTTAATTTGTTTGTGAAATGTGACGGTTTAAAGAAAATACAACATTCTTAATTTTTTATTCAGATTTAGCAGAGTAATACATAATTTTATAAACAAATCAAACAACAAATAAACTAATAATTATTTCAAATGAATAACGGGTATTTCCCCCAAGAGCGCGAATAACTGCCTCAATGCGTCGTGGCATACCCTATTAGATGTCGAATCTCCATCTGGTTAATCTGATCCCATTCTTGGACCAAAACATCTCTCAAAAAATTTAAATTACTTGGAGAAGGAACTAGATTATGAACTCGTCTGCCCATCATGTTCCAGACGTGCTCAATTGGATTGAGGTCTAGGCTACGTGATGGCCAGTTCATCCTTTGAATTTCTGGTCGAATATGTGATCGAGCGTTGTCATGCATAAACATGAATTCGTTTCCTATAAACGGTGCAAATGAAACTACATGTGGATCTAGCACATCACGAATATATCGTTTAGCTGTCATTGCTCCGCCGCCAACAATGATTAAATCAGTACGAGCTTCCATGCTTATGCCACCCCAAACCATTACCTATCCTCCTTCATGACTGAGCCTTGTGGAAAAATTTGCTTGGTCAAACCTTTCGCCTCTTCTTCGGTATATTCTTTCACGGCCATCAGGAGAACGTAAACCAAACCTTGACTCGTCAGAAAATAAAATCTTACTCCAGTCATCGACATTTCAATGTTGATGCTCCCTGGCCAATCGAAGACGTGCTATTCTGTGATTCCTAAGTAACTCCGGACCAGTTGCAGGTCTTCTGGAGCGTAATCCATGTTCACGTAATCACCTTCGAATCGTTATTTCGTTAACAGCTACTTGACGTACTTCTTCAAAACGATTTCGAGCCATGACAGCAGTAGTATTTCTTTCTCGCAAAAAACATTTAATGTTACAAAACGATCATCTCGAACATTTGTAGAACGTCGTCTGCCAGATCCTCTTCGTCTCGAAAAACTACCAGTTTCATTGAAACGTTGTACAGCTCTGGACGCTACACCTTGTAACACCCAATATTCTAGAAGCATAATACTGAGACCTACCGTCTTGTACCAGAGCAACTGCTCGTGCAGCATCAGTAGGTGTTAAAACCATGACGTTATGCTGATAATGAATATTTGTTATGCTGATAATTAAACTGCAATTGCCAAGTAACATATATTGTAAGTATTATATTGTGGGTTGGCCACAGTCACAGCAACTACTTATTTTGTAGTTTATTCTCTACCGTCATTTAAATTATGACCATTTCTAAAATGTAGCATTTTCTTTAAACCGTCACATTTCACAAACAAATTAAGATATCGGGGTAAATAAAAAAACAAAGTGTTGGAAACAAATCAGTCTTCTTGATAAAGTTAATTAACCTACAGGGTGTGTCAAAAGTAGAGGAAAAAATTGTTTTCTCTTCTCCCTTGTATATGCGGCGATTACTAAATTACTTTTAGATGTCCGAATAATAATCTTAAAACTACAGTATTTTATCTAAAAGTTGCTAAAAAAATCAAATAAATCAGCCTCCGCATTTAAGAGTTAGAGCATTTTTAAATAAATCATTATTTTGAATGGATCGAATTTTAAGTCTGTAAGTGTATGTGACATTGATTTCAAGTTTCATTTTTCGTTTAGAAAATTTAATACATTTGAGATTATGGATAATTGATCATTTTTAAAAAAATTAAAGTTTTTCTTCAATATAATAAAGCACTATAGAGAATTTATAGAGTCCAAAATGAAAATTATCATTATTGTTAGTTCAAATTACTGAATTTGGTTTTAATGCTAGAGTTTTCAAATTAGCAGAAAAACTAAAACTGATGAAATTATAGGATGGAAAATCAAAATATTTTTCCGTTACTTATGAGGTATTTTTTTTAAATTCAAGTGATAGAGTTGTATTAATCCACTGATCTAAATACCTGTTAAATTTGACAATTTACAATAGTTTGAAATTAAAAAAAGTTATCGCAAAATAAATGTGCCTATTGCAATTTCTGACTAGTTGTTTTTATAACATTGCAGCATTATCTTCATTGAGAAATTAAATACTAGATTAATAAATCTAACAAAAGTAGGTAAAAACTGTAAAACTTACGAAAGCATTTTTTCCAGTGTCGGTTTTGACGTAGTCCTCTAATTCCTCAATATTGGTCAACGTTGCTAAAGGAAAAGTAACAGGCACCTCTTCCATTGCATCTGCTGTTTGGTTAGCAGGATTTTCCCTGATTCCACCTAATCGTTGTTTAATATCTTCCATATCTAGTTTATTCATCGTTAACAGTGAAATTATTTCTTCTAAGCTGTTTTTAATTTCCTGGACGTCACCATCTAAAAAATGCTATATTAGTGTTTGTATGAAATTGAAACAAAGTGATGCATTTAATTGAATGATATGGCAGAAATCCTTCAAGTGTAATTTGTGAGGTTCAAGATGAGACTTACCTCGCCGCGTGCAGCGTTACATAGGTCTCAGTGACCAATTTAATCGTGAATGGCTTTGTATCAGCTACAGCATGAATCGCTGAGACGGTATTACTAAGACAAGCGGCGAGGCAAGTCTCAGAGGAATCATAGTTAGTGTAACGACATTGTTAATTTAAGGAAAATATAGAGGATAAGTAAAAGCACTTTGTTTCTTCGTTTAACTGTTAAATTAAATAAATAGTTCGTTATATAAAATTTATTAAGAACTAAAAACTACATTTCAGATGGATAGTAACAAATTATTTTGAGATTAATTCATTATTAAGCAAAGTTGATAAGAAGACGCCCTAATAAATGGAGACAACTGATCTGTGTAGCGTCGCATGAGCCGAGGTGAGTCTCATGGTGAATGGGCCGTTTGAACAATCAAAAATTAAAATACAAATGAATTCTTATTGATATTTTTGTTTTGACTAATTAATTTTAAAGTAAACGGACTATGGCCAAACACAACCCAGTAATGACAGAGCAGTTTCTGCCAATATTACATATCCTTACTTAATAAAAGAGATATTTAACACAAAGAAGAAGAAAGAAAAAATGCGGTAGGCGAAATAGATATTACATGCTGGATGATAGGATCTACAGACTTTGTAGATGAAATATTAGAAGAATACAAAGTAATGGAAAACGATAATCAAAAGAACACTGAGACAAGTATTAAAAGTAATTTTAAAAAACCGGCTTCAAAATCGTGCAGATGCCATCACCAGATCTTAACCAAATTTATATGGGCCACCCCTGAGGTATCCCCTTACTAACAAAAAAAGAATCATAGAAATCGGACAAGGTGGTAAAGAATTTTCGCTAAACATACATCTCTGTATCTGTAATTTGTGAAGGGTGGGTTACCCCACAGCACCTAGGCCTCATTAGGCCCATTGTGCATCCTTCCGAGAAGATAGGCACCTCCCAGCTCGTGAGCCAGCCTACAGATTTAATGTAGTTGACAACGTCGCCAAGAGGTGCTTCTCTTATATCGGCCGGTGTTAGCCGATACTCGCCAAACACAAATCTTCTAATAAATGAGAGCGTCGAGCAATCGTAAAGGATATGCTCGATGGTCTCATCTTCTTGTTCGCACCCTCTGCAGAGTGCGGATTCTGACAGCCCCATGATATGGAGATTCTTTCGTACTTGGCAATGACCAGTCAGAATGCCTGTGACTAGGCGCAGATTCTGTCTAGTCATAGTCAAGTATTTGTTTGCTGCAGTGTTGTCAGGATAACTTAAGAGCTCCCTGGCAACTCTACAGTTTCTTGCTTCATCCCATCTTTTCTTGAATTTCACAAGGGAATGTTCTTTGATTAGGTCTGTCACTGCCGATTTTGTCAGGCCAATAGAAGGGCCAGGTCCAAAAAGTATTTGGTTGGCTGCTTTCTTGGCTAGTGAATCAGCAAGACGGTTACCTTTCGATGTGGCGTGACCTTTAATCCATCTTAAGGTGACCACGTTGTTGATGGATACGTCGGCCAAAGTTTCGTGACATTCTAGTACTAACCCTGAATAAATTCGTGGTCTGTTCAGGGTGAGTAGTGCTTGTCTGCTATCTGTATAGATGAGCATGTTCCTCCCAGTGATATTGTTTCTGGTTATTTCTTTTGCTGCTATGAGAATCCCCGTTAGCTCTGTTTGAACTACACAGGCACTATTGCTCACAGCCCATTTTATATTTAGGTTTAAGAATCTGGAATATATTACACATTCTGAACCTTGTTTTGTTTTAGAACCGTCGGTGTAGATATGAATCGTACCTGCCACTTTTGGTTCTTCTATTTGTTCTATTATAACTTTATATGGCTTATGAAAGCTAAACATACATAAAAAATGAAGATATTAAGGATTTTCTCATGGACCCAATTATTAGATTTTAACGAAATTTATATGGGACCACCCCTGAAGTACCCACTTCTAACAAAAAGAATCATTAAAATCGGACACTATGATAAGTAATTATCTCTGAACATACATACATACATACATACATACATACATACATACATACATACATACATACATACATACATACATACATACATACATACATACATACATACATACATACATACATACATACATACATACATACATACATACATACATACAAAAAAATATATATACCGACGAATTGAGAACCTTCTCTTTTTTTGAAGTCGGTTAAAAAAGAGGTAATTGAAATAGGTACATCAACCATAAGCAAGCAACAGGAACAAAAAGAAAACCTGATAAGTAAAATAGAAAAGGTGCTTGATAAAAAAATAAGCGAAAATGAGCTACAAGAGGCGCTGAAACTCAAATATGGCCCGAAAAGATTTATTAACAGGGCTATGTACACAAATTGGAACAACCAATGACCAAAGAAGAAGAAGACCACGTTATTATTGTAAAAAATGGAGAAGATCATAACAAGGTCGTAAAGGAGATTATACAAAAGAATCCACAATTAGCGGTGATAATGAGAAAATAAAAACTTGAACCTTGAACAATAACATGTAGTTATTACAACCAGTTTTATCATGGGAAAAAAATAATGTAATAAAGAATAATCTGAGAGGCTATACATACCTAATAATTACGGAAGAAGGAGAAGAAACAATAACGAACAAAGTTAGTCTAAATGCAAACCTTCAATAAGTCATCTTAATGAATAGAGATTAAAAGGTGTGCTATGTAAGTAATGTAATAAATTAAACATGCATCAGAAAGATACTACAATATACCTATATAAAAAAGATAACTCACAGATAATACTTTATACAAATAAAGAAAGTAACTCCTCGAGACAAGAAACAATAAAAATAAGGGAAAAAGATAAAGACACAGACAAGCAACTTAAAAATCTTAACCTCAAATTGTGTCATTATATTTTACTCAGATTTACTAACAGTAAGCTGAAAATAAAATCCCTTTAACATCAAAATATTTAAAATTCGAAGGCGTTGTTAACTGAACGACCACAACTGAAGAGGCGCCATATATAGGTAAAATTTTAAACAGGGCAATCCGGGTGGCGAATTCTTGCTGCTTAAAATCTCAACTATAAAATCTAATGCAGTGCCATCTACCTACAAATAGTTTTCGCTAAACCTTCCCTTTGACGTTGATGTTTCTATATTTAAGGTTTTACACGTACGTAATTATTTAAAAATACTGTGTGAATATGTATGTAAATGTTTGTAAGTTCTTCAAATAAAAATAGGAGTGTCATTTTAGAAAAAAAAAAAAAATGGAATGGCGGAAATGTTAAACATAACACCGTAATATTTATAGATTTAAATAAACTTTCCCTCACACTTCCATTCAATAATTCTACACTTTTAGTTCAATTTATTTCAACATTGACATCAATATTCAAATTTAATATTTTTTTCACCATTTGGCGACGCAGTATATATTTTGTGTCTTATTCTCAAATGAAGTTTCACTTCTTGTTTGTAGTAGAATTTGGCGTTACAAATATGGCACATTTCAGATTTTTCTTTGCCACACTCCACCCTCTGATGTCTCCTCAAGTTAGTTTGAAATTTGTAGGATTTCGAGCAATATTGGCAGTAATATCGGTTAATTTCTAAAACAAACAAAAATAAGTTATGTAATATATAATATGTAGGTAAACACTGCCTTTAAAGAGTTGCTCCACCTTCCTTATTTTAGGGAGGAAAGTGGTATAAAGGCTTAAATTACTTTTTTCTTCCCACATTTGATTGTCAAATCAATAACTTGATAATAAAGATAAATTTTTTATCTTTCTGCATATCTCAAAAAATAAAATTTTCCATTTTAATTACTAACCTTATGCTTGTTTATTTTTAGATTTTCCTTTCTTATATTAATGAAAGATTTTATCTGTTAGTGGGTATTTCAAATGAACTCATTTATTGTATTTGTAACTAAATGAACCAATCATTTTTTAATAATAATACCTTTGTCAAAATTAGGTAATTAAAAACATTATTGCAATGTTTATTTATTATTAATAATAATTGCTAGTTTTTGGGGATCTATTATGTTTAACACGGGAGTAAACTACATTGTTACCGTTACGTTGCACATTACTCCCTAGTTTAAAATAGTATATTATACACCAAGGGACTGAAGTGGCATTTTTTATCACGAGGCGAAAAGATTGTATAATTCGTCAAGGGATAAAAAGACACTTCAGTCCCGTGGTTTATACGCTATTTTATTTTAGGAATCAAAAACCTAAAAAAGTAATTAAAATTATGAAAAACCACTTAATGGTAATCTAAAAACAAAGCAATAACGATGTCAGTATATTTTACTTTGTGCTTTTAATCCCTAGGGATTAAAAGTGATTTTTAATCCATAGGGAGTAAAAGTGCATAAAAATAGTTAATTCCATATTTTTTTATATTAAAAATCAGGTTTTAAAAAAAATCTCTTTATTTTGACTAGTTTAAAACAAGTAAATACACACGAATACATATAATTTAATACTATTTAATACAGAATGTCTCTAAAAGGTACCGAAAAATGCTACCATCTATTCCTGAGGCTTAATATGACGATCTTACCCAACTTACCTTAGTCCAAAAGTGGATGATTTCGGAAATACAGAGTGTTAAAAGTTTAATTTGGTTTAGTTTATCATAAATAATTTTCTTAATAAATGGTGAAAGACAGTTATTTTAATTCAACACCTTCGCTTCAAATTGTGCTAAATTATTACAATAATTTAGACCCGGCCATACACGAAGTGAATTTTTTAAATCGAGATAGCTCAAAAACGGCTCCTCAAATCAACTCTTATCACGTATACCTTTTTTAAGTAAAAGACATTGGAGAACAAGAATTTTTATTTAAAAGTTAAATACAGATCGGCT